TATGTTTTATTTTTTCCAATATGTTAAACCTAAATTATGCTTTAAAAAAATGCAGTATTTGCCTTTTGTCCTTTGTAGAAGATGTTTTAACTTATTTACACTTAGAAAAATACATGAATGAGTGTTCAAACTTACATGACTACAGCTGTCATAACAAAACTTTTTACCTTTAAAATGGTAAGTAAACAGAAGACGTCTTTAACATGCATTAATATAACAATATTGGTCCACCATTCATCATAACATAAAGGGCAGCTGTTGTTCTTAAATTGTGTACAAAATAAATAAAAAAGAAAAAATGAAAGAGGTTATATATGACAGCAACAATGTACCAATAGCCAACAGAAGGAATAAAACATGCCAACAGCATAGAAATTTAATGTGCAAATCTCTTACTGCCAAATCTACACAAAACAAGTTTCATCATCCACCTTTGCTCCTTTCTTCGTCTCTTCTCCTCTTCATGGAGAACTTTTTTAAGTTGTAGGAATAGCTGGTGTTTCTCCTCCTGCAAGCCCTGCAATTTCTCCCCCATCTTCTGAACCTAAAACACAGTGCTGGAATGTTCTGATGTTCCATACTAAAGTAGCGCATACATACAGACATACATACACACACATTCAGTACACAAAGCAGTATAGGTATCGGTGATGGAGACACCGACACCTGTGACTGACACCACGAAACAATTTCTGATGCGTACATACGCTCCAGTAGACAGAACTTAACAACACGTCGGCAGAGTGGGACAACAAGCAGCAGTAAAAATCCTCATGGCAGAATCTGTAATGGCACTTTTGATGTTAAGAACACACCAACGGAGCCGCTTTGCTGAACAACTGAGCTGCTTCTTTTAGTAATCACTCGTCTGCTGCTGTGCGGTCACTTGCAGTCTGAGTTAATGTTACTGAGAGAGCCAAAGGAACCACTCTTGCCGTAATGATAGCCTTTAGTTTTGATTTGGCCTTTAGCACAGCAGCCTGCTGGCTGGGCTTAAGTGTCCACTAGCCCCGCTTGCGGTGCACCTCTGTCAGTCAGCTATATCAGTCAGCAGCGGGGTCTCGCGGCCCATCGCTTCAACCAAGCCAGAAAAAGCACTGAAAGCCGCTAATACTGACAGCTTAAACGACAGTGATATTTACTGAACTGACATTCAGAGATGCAGCATGAGTGAACAAGATGCACCTATGAGACAAATGACTTGAGAAATTTGGATGTGAAACAACATTCAGCTCTGTTTTTGAGCCAGAGAAGCTGCTGTGTGCTGATGTGTAAACACCACAGGTTTATCTGTAAACTGCTTTGCAAAATAAAGATATTTTACATTTACTTACGTTGTTAAACATGGCTCTTATTACTATGTATATAAATGGTAAATACTAAATATATACAGTAAAAACAAAAAATAAGTTTTCTTAAGCCTCCAATAAATATAATCCAACAAGTAAATGCCACCTAGCCGAGCTGAGTGTGTTTTCCTTGTGACGCAGATCAGAGATTTGACCAAAATATATATATTTTTAAATTTAATTGTATAAATATCAGGACTTAAACGTGAGTTAGGTTAGATAGAGTAAGTATCAGGATCGGTACCGGCCAATACTATAGGACCAGGTATCAGAAGGAAAAAGTTGTATCAATGCATCTCTAGTTGTAGTTATTTGCAAACTTGAAATTCCGCCACCTAATGCCACTCAAACTCTTTCCTGCATTACACATGTGTACGTCACAATGTCCTTCGAGCCAATGAGGGTTTAAAAACAACAACTACAACAACAAGGGTTTGACAGAGAGCCTGTTACTGACAGTGTAGATGCACAGCAGCAGCTAAAAGTAAGCTTCTCATGTTGATATTTTGCAATGCTTGTAAACTTACCATAGCTTTCTTTATTTGAACAGTCACAGAATCTGTCACTAAAATACATTCTTTATTAATCAAACTCTGCTTAGAACCATAAGCACTTCACTGCTTAAAACACTGAATCTGATACATACATATACATATATATACATATATATATATATCAGATTCCCCTACCTGCTCTTTAGTTTCCTCCAAGGACATTCTTTCCTCCATCTCTTTTGTTCGTTTCCTCTCTTCTTCCTCTTTCATCTTCTGCTCCATCATCTTGTCCACTTCTTCCTCTTCTAAAACGAGGCAAAGAAACAGGCGGACCACAATAAGTTCTTCAGAGGAGACAGATTTAATGATACAGGCTAAAGCCCCTGTGCTTACACTGTTGTGGTCAGTTCGTTAACTAACTTACCTTGTCTTTTTCTCTCCCTCTCTCTCATGATGTGTTTGTGCAGAGCTCTGGCCATCGCGTTGGACAGTTTGGGTCTCTCCAGCAGAGCAGGCATGGTGACGGGCAGTGGGGGTGCCAGCTGCGGACGAAAGGATTTCATTACACAAATCATTTCCCACCAAGACCACATCTCTGTTAGCTCGTTTATTGCCTCGGTCAGTTAGCTATCAGCGTGTGTTTAGCCACCGTTAATACAGAAAGTGTCTCCGAGACTGACTGGTGTACATCAGAGAAGGTAAGCTAGCTAACTAAAGAGAAGAGGGCTAGCTCGTTAGCTAAACACAGCTACGATTCCCTCCCTGAGCTTTAGTTAGCTTCACCAGCTACATCAGTTCACCACGGATACAAACTCACTTTCGTTGTCTTATGAGCTCCAAGAAAAAACTTCGAAATGTCTTTTATCTCCTCCTTCGATCACACAGAACAAACTGAGCTCTTTTAGCTTTCTCTTTAACTTGAGGTTTGTTTTAGAGCGTCTTTAATCGCTTCCCGTATTAAACCCTTTTTCCCCGGTCCGGTACAGTCCCGACAAAATAAAAGACCTTACGACCGTTATGGCTGCGTCCCAAACCATACACTTGTACACTTTACACACTACACTAGTGAATGCACTTCTAGCGATAGTGCACTATATTTACACACTATTTAGTCCTGTAGTGCGCGGTTTGGGACGCAACCTGTGCTTCAGCCAAACAAAGGCGGTTTGAATACGCGAATTAGATATTTAAAGCCCAGAAAATAAGCAAATGTTTTATAATTTGATGCATAAATTTTGAGAACAAATACACTCATTTTAATGAAGCTTTCAGAGATTAAACTTTTGTGGCAAGGAGCCAGTGAAGAAATGAATTAGACGAAACGCACACATTAATAATACTCAAGCCGCTTTGAACCCCGAGTCGGAGGATGCTGACCGTCCACGGTCCTGAGGGGTTTATGATCACGTAAAAAATTTAAACCCCCTTAAAGACTCGGCCCTAAAATTCACATCCTACCAAAAATATGAGGATACCTTCTCTAATTGTCTGACTAATATATATATATATATATATATATATATATATATATATATATATATAATATATATATATATACTAATACCAACAACTTTCAAAAGAAAAGACAAGAAAAGAAAAATAATTTGAACGTTTACAAGAGAGCAAATTTATGACAGCAAATGGAAACGTTTTCCCAAGAAGTTTGTCCTTCCTTCACATCCTAATGGGGAAAAAGGGAAAAAACACAGAAAGGAGATATGTCACTGAGCCTTGAAAATGTATGACCGTTTTTTAGTCATTTTTTCCACCTTTTGGAGACGAAAAACTTCTTCAAAGCCTCAGTGTGCTGTGCTCCCCAGCATTCAATCAGCAACAGTGTCCTCTTTGAAACATACAGTAAACACACTGAACATGCTCTGTGTGCTCAGAATCTCAGGGCCTTACAGTCTTACTACAGTCACTAGTACAAGTATCCTCAACACGAACAAGCATTTCATGCAGCATGAGAATCTTAAAGAACTTGAGCTTTAAAGGGCCCAATAAATATGGATGTGGACAACTATCTGATCTACATTGATGTTTGTATTTTATTTCCTATGTTAAGTTGGATGTAAATATTTAATTGATCTTATCTCTCCTGCCTGCAACATGTTTTTGGAACAGTATTTGCTGCAAAATAAAACACATGCATAAATTTAACCAGCATGTATTGCCATAACACATGCAGTTTTGTGTATATCAACTTCAGCATACACAAATATGTTTACATCACTTCTCTCACCACTATTTCACAACTCCTGCAACTGGTCAAGTTCATTTGATGGAGAAAAATAAGTTTTGTAATATTAAACCAGCTGATTTGAATTTGACTTTTGGCTTAAAAGCCTACAAGAAACTTCTTGCTAACTATTCAATGTATGAGTCTATAAAATTACATTAAGACCAGGAATTAACAAGAATTATGGAGTTAAATGAGGTAGCATCACTAGCCTTCATAGTAAGTTTCAAATTTCTACATGATGTGTAGAAATAAGTCAGTACCTTAAAGTGATCAAGAACAAACATGAAAGTTTGTTTTAAAGTGGAGCCTGATAATCCTACAAATCTGATAGTTTTATTCCATGAAATAGGATGAAGTTTATGTGAACAACGAAAACAAAAACTAAAACGTTCAACTAAATAGTGCAAGACAATTAGATCCTTAATGAGCCAAAACAATCATGTTTACAGGCCACTCCTGGTATCAATGCTGTAGTTTCCTGTTCTACTTTAAGTGATGACCCATTTCTTCATGCTATATAATAACAGGTCATTAGTATTACAAAATACAGTAGTGAGAAATAAATATTGGTGCTGGGGCTGCAGTACCTACCACCAACTCTGGAGTCTCGCATACCATCAACATGAAGTCTGTTTCCTGACGTATGAGCCAGGTTCTCACATACACTGAAAACCATTTCTCCCTCATGACTTTGCTTATATTTTAAGACACTTGACATTATACAAGTTCAAGTAAGTAAAATATTTCTGACTGCAATTGAGTCATTACTGTAGACACAGAGAATGAACCATTAGGAAGCCACTAAACAGCGTTATTAATAAACTGACAGGGAAGGGTAATGCAGTGCACTAAGCTTTATTTGAATAAAACCCTCAGACTTGACAAGTTCAAAGCGTATAACCAAACCTGCAGATTAAAATCAAAGTACACTACAGTTTAAACCCAACAAAATAAAAATTGGCTTCTCTGAAGCCATGTTTTTAAAAAATACCCCAGAAATGAGTAAATGCAAAGCTGAACACAAGGTAATGAAACTATACCAATCTACATGAAAACACATTGGAATCTTTCCAGAGCACGTCCTGAGATGACCCCCACACATTATTCACCCAACAGGTTAAACGGTCTTCTGCTGTCCCTTCTTCCCAATCAGAGATTTGTGAATGTGGGGAATGACACCTAAAAAAGGAAGCAAGAAAAGGAAGATAAATGAAACCACTCAAAAATACAAGTATCCAAACTTAATCACCCGCACTGTCTAGATTCGAATCCAAGTTATGGAGGGACACTGAATGGACTACAGGTTCTAGCAAAACTAAAAGTTTGTACACACTTTACTTAAACACCATTTCAAAACAGAACACCAAGCATATGCACAACTTACCACCACCAGCAATGGTTGCTTTGATGAGAGAGTCCAGCTCCTCATCACCTCTGATGGCGAGCTGCAGATGGCGTGGAGTGATACGCTTCACCTTCAAATCCTTGGAAGCATTTCCTGCCAGCTCAAGAACCTTATTGCAGGGAGGGAAAATAAAGCTAATGAGTAGGGCAATACAGCACAGCTAGACAAAATTAAGACTTGACTCCAAATATGCAGTTTACCTTTCATTTGGCATACTGTTCATGTCTAATCTGCAGCAAACACAACCTACTTAACTAACTTTCATAACTAAAGCCTTGAAAAAAAAATGGCAATCTATTAATTCCAAACAGGAGTAATGCATGTAGCCCTAAGCTCAGTCAATATGCGGTGAGAAGAATATACTGCAGAACAAAACTGCTTAAATTAAATCAACTTAGTATTATTTGACTTATGGCAATCACAATTATTAGTCTGCTTTCTGCAACTGTAAACTGGCATACATTGCATGCAGATTTCTGGAAATTGAGATCTGGCACTTACTGAAAGTACAAAGCCCATGTTAAAAGCAGTTATGGTTAATCGGTTTAATCCGATTCATTCTTGTACATATTATGCCTCGCTACATAAATCAACAAAGTACATTTATCTGGGCTGATCTGAATATCTAACTCTACCTCAGCAGTCAGATACTCCAGAATAGCGGCGCTGTAAACAGCTGCAGTGGCTCCAACGCGCCCATGACTTGTAGTTCTGGACTTCAGATGTCTGTGAATACGTCCTACAGGGAACTGTGAACCATGCAAAACAATGGAAAAAAAATAAACACAGAATTATTTATCCATTTATTCTATCCCGTAGAAAGGCGGCTGCTTAAATTACGAGCTTCTTGAACAAACAAGAATGCTCATGCAATTAAAAAAGACAAAAAATTACTAAAGTTTAGAAGATTTTAAAACACTATTTTAGAACAATCCGAGCTTCTTCGAAGCTACGTGAAAAGCTTTAGTAGTTAGCCCGCCTGCTAACGTTACCGCCGCGGCACAAACCTGCAGTCCTGCCCTCTGGGAGCGCGAAACAGCCTTCGCTTTCGCCTTTCCTGAATCTTTTCCAGCTTTTCCTCCAGCCTAAAAAAAGAACAACATTCAAAAATTGTTAACACACGATAGCTGGTTATGTTTCTGGTGTTTAACCGGGGAAACAGTCTGAAGAAAACACAGCTGTCTGACCGACGTCCTTGGCTCACAATTCAAAAGCGGAGAACAAGTGAGCCAGCTTAAGCTAAGCTAACGTTAGGTGGCGAGGCAGCTGAGAGACTACAAAACGTTAGCTTGCTAGCTAGCTGGCTAAAGCTAGCCACAGACACAATGGAGAGTAGACTAAAACCGGACGACAGAGAATGTGTTATTACATTAATAGTATCGCCTAAAACTACGTTAAAGGCAAGAATACGACGAGAGCAGCAAAAACAAAGACATTATCGTTACCATTGTGTGAGCGTAACCGCCGCGAACCACCAGACAATTTCAGAACGTCTCGTTTGAAACCGAGTTACGCGCCTTCAGATCGCTATATATTACACAAGGCAGTACATCCGGGACACGGCGCTCCTGAAGCAGCCAATTAGCTTCGCTATGCTGGAATACGGCGCATAATAAACCAATGACATAACTCTGATCCCAGTGAAGGAGGCGGGTCGTTCGTGTCTGCCAAACCTGACGGGTAATGTAGTTCAGAATTAGAATCAGTCGCCAATTGTATATTTGGAATGAGCGATACATCTGTTTTTGATACCAGTCAGAACAACGCCTTATATTATGATGCCAACACTTTTAAAGGTCATACTGAGCACGTAAAAATGATATTGCAGTGTGATTTTTATAGGAAAAACCACTAAAATGTGGTCAAAATTACACATGAAGCCTTGCAGCAGCATTAAATAAATTACCACATAAAATTACAGTGAAATCGCTGTCTCATGTAACCGTCTGTGTGTTTTTTTGAGACATATATTACAGTATTTGTTTACAATATATTGCAGGGCGATATGACTAGTTGTACACTGGTAGGGCAATAAATGTTAATACAGTATTATTAATTGTGTTGAATAAAAAGTTAGGCCCCAGTAAAAGGGTTTACAAGTTTTAGTGTAAAGTGAAAGATGCCCACTGCAGTTAATCAGGGCCACAGAAACGACTTGCTGGCTTGTGCTAGCTTTAACGGTCACTGGAAGTTTCAATCAAGAATGCATTATTTAAATTTGCTTGCCTTTAATCGGTGTAAAATTATTGTTCAGATCTGTGAGACAATATTTTGTTCAAAGTGAGAAAAAAATGAGGGTTTTTCTCAGGAGTTGAATTTTAGAAACAGGATAAAATTGCTTAAATCTATCTATTCAGATAGAATTTATAAGTATCATGAGATTAAGAGGAGATCTTATTTCGAATATTTCCTTCCTCTTCTGAAGGTGTGTGAAGGCCTGCAAATGTCTGATAAAAGCTGGGCTATACAAGTTGTACTGTTCGTGTGTGGATGGATTTAATATTTAATTTGCTCAATAGTTAAAAAATACTTTGAATGGTTTGGGCGTTGTATAGATGTGTGTGTTTTAAGGGAAAGGCAAAGGAAAAAACTGCACATAACTTCCTAAAGCTAGATGCACAGCAGGATGTCATTCCAGTGAATAAACAGTACAGACAATTATATAATAATGTGTCAGACTAGAAGGAGACACCAAAAGTGGCCAATTGAAAGAATGACAGTGATGCAGAAGGTCATTTCACACCCTGTTATTCTGCCCTTTAGCTGCCTCAATAGCTCATTCATGTGAAGTGGAGGCCCAATTGCATAACAGAGTACATAAATCTGAATTACAATAGCACCGTCTCACAGTTTCAGTCATAATCAAGTGTCTCAGGGCCCAGTATCAATTCAATAATACTTGTTAGTTCTGGGCACAATTGGCAAAATTAACAATATGACAACATTTTTCAAATACATCACAATATCAGATGATATTTAAATGTAAATGTATAAAGCCACTGAACTCATTCTTCACACTAAAATGACATCTTTTACACATAATAAGCTCGTTTTCATTACATCACATCACACAGTGTTGTAAATGTTAACCAGACACAAACCACATCTTTAGAAACTTTGTATTTATTTAGTTGTTATTAATTGCATTTAACGTTCATTACATTACAAACAATCAGAACTGAGACTTCATGAGTGAAATGTACAAAATAGAATAAAAAACATGAAAAGCTAAAAAGAAACGATTTGACAAGATCATATCATATCATGCATATAATACTTTTTATTTATAACTGAAAACATTAGTAAAACTGAAAAGCAATATCACGGTGCATCCGTATCACAGTATAGGTCAGATATCACTGGTGCAGTCTTTGCACTAGGCAAAGGTAAGCAGCTGCCTTGGTTCCCCATGAGCCAAAGGCTCCATGAAATTACAAAGTAGATATGCTGTATGATATGATGTTAATTAACATATTCTGAAACATATATACACACATGTTAACAATAGCTATTATTTGTCATGGTGTTATTATTATTATTATTATTATTATTATTATTATTATTATTATTAGTAGTAGTAGTAGTAGTAGTAGTATTTTAATAACTGAAATGATCTCACTGGCAGATAATTTTGCTTTGTTTCAAGCAATTTCTTAAAAGAAGTAAAATTATCTGCTAATATAGTGAAATCATTTCATGTAATAAAATGACTAAAATCAAGTAAAAATGTCCAGAATTAAGTTAAAAGACCCATAATGTGGAAAACAATTTTCTTTGTCTTTTTGAAATAAATGTAGTAAACATTGTTTAAGTCTCAAAACAAACCGTTCACTCTATGTCCATACAGTCCATTTATAGAAACTAAACTGCAAAACATCCCTTTTTTGATTTCAGCGCATATATGATGTCATGTAAGACAAAAACTGTTTTGCCGCCCCCATTCAAACTGAAGTTATAAGGAGTATTTAAGCATGAACTGCTTTTTGAAGAAAAAACAGCAAAAAACAAGGTACAATAACAAAACAGTAGCAAAAACAGCCTGTTTAATTCTAAGGGGTCATGTAAAAATGAATTATGACTTTTTCGGTGCCTAAACCCACACAAATGTCATAAATAGAACTAAAGGATACAATTAAAATACTAGAAAGTTGTAGGATAGACCATTTAAATAAGCTTACAAGATTCTTACAACAAAATGAGAAATATTAGGTATAAAATATTGGATTTAAGATAGTTTCACTTGCCAATGTGTCATTATTTACAGAGTAGATGGTTACACCACCTGGGAGCCCATTCATTTAAAATGTGCATTCAGGGGTTCCTTTCCTGTGTTTTGCCTTGAGCCCCAGAATCACTAAATCTGCTCCTGATATCGCCCTGCATTTATGCATATAAGTGGCAGACCACCACAGTTTTACATTTTTGCCTTTAGATAAATCAAAAACTGATTGTTCTCCCAATGCCATTTTAGTTTTGAGATCGAAATAAGCACTTCAATATTTCGTAAGAACTAAACCTGAAGTGAGTGAATTCTATATTTACTGCTCTCCAGAAAGATTGCTGTTTTGCTTATAGGGGTTTCGGCAACTAGATGCAGGCCTAGCAGAATATAATTGCATGTGGTATTAGACTATGTTATAAGCTATGTTTTACTCTGCACTGTTCTGGAATGTACCTACCAATTAGCTATTTTGGCTATTTATTCCTATAATTCCCCCTTCATTCTATACTGCCAGCCATTTGTACTGTTTGGTGGCCTTGCTATTATTTATTGTTACTTGTCTGGTGTTGTCAGGCATAATATGTGCAATACACTCTTCTCACATCTAACCCCCTCCAACTTCCCTTGCTTTTTGCTTCCCTACCAATGCAAATGATGTTTCTGTTTGTAGTATTCTGCCAGTATCAGAATTGAAGTACACACTAGAGAATGACCTCTTTTGCAAATTTAACCAATCTCAAAATAAGTGGCTGATTTTTACACATAAAACACATAACACATAAAAAAGATTAAAACATATTTCTTTCTTTTGATTTGATACTCAGTACAATCATATGCCCACAAGGTGGCTGTATGCACACTTGAATGTAGACTACTCTGCACTGACCCAACTGAGAAGAACACATGGCTAAAACATCAGTTGGTAGTAACTAAAGACGATTTTGGCTTGATGGTCTTTCTGATATAACAGACTTTATTATCATTTGGAATAGTGTCAGACAAAATGACATTCATGTGTCATTTCTCAAATGCTTTAGAGTGCATCTATAAATAAAGTCAGCATGACAGATTACACTCTGTCTCTCACATAACAACATCTGTTATAATGTGATGCGTTTGAGAAGTGCCGGCAGTCCTCACATCCCAATATTGCTTCAATGTTGCGTCAGACAGCAGATGATGGCAGTTAGTGTTATCCGTGATGTTTATCTAATGACAGCAGTTTCATTCTCTGTGGAAAATGAGATTCAGTTTGCTCTTTTTAAAAAAGCTTGTGGAGGAATTTATCTCTGTGTTCAATTTTAATTCAGTAAAGTTTACTGCAATGCAGTTATATTGTCTGCATCAGTGGCATAACTACCAGCAATGCAGGCACGGTAGTCATACATAGGCCCATAGGGCAGGGGGGCTCATAGCAAACGGACCTCTAATGTCATTACTTGAGAAATTTTACACTCATGACTCATGGGTAGCCATAAACATAATGTACTTCAATATTTCAGACTACAAAAGAGCTAAAACATGATTGAGATAGAGCAATAGCAAATAAACAAGCAAGTAAACAATGGTGCCTGAAACGCAAATTACAATTTATTATTTTTTTATTATTTGAAAGAGATTTTATTATGAGCAGGTCCTTTATGTATTTGTTGTTTTTTTGCACTAGTGCCCATTCAATCCTAGTTATACCACTGGTTTATCAACAGTATTGCAAAATCCAAAATCCGTTTAAAGTTTATTTAATTTCCAGTCAAAACGGCTATTAAGTACGTTATTTATTGTTCAGGAGATATTTCTGAGGAGATCAGGTATCAGATAATCCACTTGCTTAAGGATGGGAAAAGTCAAAGGAAAATAGTAAATTCCAAAACTGCAACTGTTCAAAAAAAATATTTAAATACATAGAAAAAATGGAACATACAAGACCGGGTAGACACTAAAACTGTCACCGTCAGATAAGTAGCACTTAAAGCTTCCTTCTTCGAGAGAGGGGAGAAAATCAAGCTCCATTTTTGTTTCAGATCTGAAAAAATCCACAGGTGTTTCTGTCCATCCTTCCACTGTTAGATGACAGCTCAACACTGTAAGTGTGAAATTGTTCACGATTACAGAGTCCAGAGCTCAACATCATTGAATGTGTTTGGATTACTTGGATTGTGAAAAGCAGAAAATACAACCAGCTTCTAAGACTGAACTTTGGAGGTGTAGAAAAATAGTCCTGCAGTTTTCTTTGAAAAACAGAAAGCAAGTGTCCTGAAAAGAATGGAAGCAAAGAGTGGATGCATTAAATACTGAAAAAACCCTGTTATTATATTTAGCTGTTGAGGCTTCTC